GCCGTGCGGCTGTGCCCAGGCGGTGGGTCGCCCAGCCACTGGTGGCTGGTGAAGAAAATTCCCACATCTTTGGTGTGTAAAACCCACACTGGGAGACACTCAGACCTGAGGACAGCAAAGCAGTGGAGTCCGGGGACAGCTCGGCGGTGGCTAACGCCCTCCTACATGCCCTGGCTGCACCATGCCACATCCTTGTCCAGGTCACCCCTGCACTTTGGCCTGACAACCCCGGAGTATGCCCAGTGTGCCTGGGGTCTGGGGGCGGTGACCAGAGGGCCATCTCCTGAGGCCGCAGAGGGGGGTGTGGGGACAGATTTCCAGGCTGGGGAGGGCAGCCTGCTGCGCTTTCCCATGGGCCTGGGAGGCCGCCCCACCCAGCCTGTCCCTAGAAGGAGAGTGGCTGGGCCCCCGAGTGGCTGTCCCCCTCCCACTCTCAGGTCTGTGAAGAGGCACAGCGCGCCGTGACCCAGGAGGACATGAAGGCTGTGGGCCTGGACGGTCGCCGGTCACCCCATGGTCCCTGGATGGCCATCAGTCAGGCGATCATCGGTCTGCACGGGTTTAGACGTGCCAGGGCGTGTTTCTCAGCTGAGCACATGCCCAGGCCACTGGAGCTGGGGCAGGCTCCTGCCTGGACAGGAAAGAAGGCCGTGGGCAGTGTCTGCCCGGAGTCGACATGACAGAGCAAGGCCGCCTAACAGCCGCCATGTTTACACAGAAGCGTGCGGGACTTCTGCAAGCCCAGTGGGGATGAGCTTTGCAAACACTGCAATAAAAGCTGATTTTGTACTTGTAGAGAGGAGGAGTTCTCTGAGCAGCCTGAGACCCAGAGCCCAGGATGGCCCAGCCAGCACCCCCACCTTGGAGACTAGAGCTCCGGTCGGGGGCAGGGGGCGGGCAGGGTCCTGCCAGCCTTGTGCCCTTCGGGGACAGGGGGCCCAACCACCCCTCGATGAGGCCAGGACTTGGTCGTCAGAGGACAGGGGTCAGCGGGAATGCTGAAGCACCACACATGCCTACACTCACCCCCAACTCGCTCAGAGCCTGCAAGCCTGTTAGTTAGAGCCCGAGAGCTGGGCCCAGGACATGTGGGCACGTGTGTCTGGGCGCTGTGTGTGCAAAATGTGGGCGTGTGTGCACGCGTGCCTTTGCATGGACGTGGTTGTGGGTGCAGGTGCATCCATGCCATGTGCGTGTGCCGACCTCATGTGCTGTGGCGGTCCCCCGCGCCATTGTTCTGGAGCACAGGAGGCAGGGCTTCGCTGGCTGGCCCTTCCAGCCCATCAGGCACAGGAGCGGCTGCGGGGTTAGACAGCTCCGTGTTTTAGGGGCAGACCCTCCCTGGAGAGTGCACTTCTGGCTTCCGCCAGTCTCTGGATGAATAGTGGCTGTTCCTACAGGCTCTGTGCACTTGCCCGAGTTCATAGGCTCCCAAGGGTGGCGTGTCAGGGTGAACGGTGCCTGTTTAACTCGGGACAGGAGTTTACTGTGAAGAAGGGCCACTGCTCACCCTCCCACCAGCTCCATCCCCCTCCCAGTGGACAGACTCAGCACTGTGGTCTCCTCACTGCTCCACAGGGTCTGCACTTTTAACTTCCGTATCTGTAGTTCATAAAGGTGAGGACTGTCTTATCTTCACTGGAAGCTTTTCCTCTAGTTCTGACTCAAAGCCAAACCTAGGTCCCACCCGTTGTCCCTTAGCCACAGCCCACCTCCTGCCTGTCCAGGGCCCCTGACCGCACCCCACCTCCTGCCTGTCTAGGGCCCCTGACCGCACCCCACCTCCTGCCTGTCCAGCGCCCTAACCCCAACCCACA